TTTATATATGTATAAGTATATATATATATATACACATATATGTATATATATATATATTTAAATGAGAAAGAGGTACATATATACATACATATATATATCGCGAACACACGCAGAAAGAGAGAGAAAGATACATGGCAAGATAGTAATAAAGAAGAGAATAACAATAATTGATAAGAATAAGAGTAATAAAGGGTTATTGGCGACAGAGAGAGAGAAGGGAAGAGAGGAGGGAGGAGAGAGTGTGAGAGAGAGGAGAAGAGAGAAGACAAAGGAAGGATCGTACAACAGAGAGTGTGAACGCTTAAGTAAATTTTAGGAAGATCTACGGTTAGAGTACTTCTACTTTGCGGCTAATCTACTCAGCGGGGCCTGTTCTACATATATACGATCGAGGTGAGTCTGATGTTTTTTGAGATGTTTGTACCGTGTACACTTCTGTAAGTGGAGGGGATGAGTAGTAATTTATTGCTCGATAAAGTATTGTCAAATTTTAGCAGCGTGTAGTCCAGATGAAAATAGGCAGAAAATGTCCCGTAAATGTTGGTCTAAAAATGAATAGTTGAAAAGTTATTAAGGATTGAATTTACTAAGGCGCTACCTTTTATAAGGAATGAACGTTCGAAATTTCCGTGACTTGTAATTTATAAACTGGACATCTTTTTTCCATTTTAACGTGTACTATGGATCCTGAGAATTTGACATACCGTTTACAGGACGTTATAGTCAGAAATAAGTAATATTTAAGTCCAGATTTATCCAACACTTTGCCTCTATTTCGATGAGCACTATTTACCCTAATATTTTGTGTAATTCATGCTGGATTATTTATTGGACACCCTGTAAAATCTAAACACAGCTCGCTCCTAATATCCGACCCAACGTATCGAACTGTACGATAGAATTTTATCGAACGGATCAATCTAGGCGGCAGCACATAGTCACACATACCCGGTGACTGAGAAGTGTCCGTCACTCCACCTAATACAATCAACTCGCTTCCTCGTTCCTCCATCCAGGAACAACCTAACCTCCAATTTAACCCACTCCACAACGAAACCACCTAGATTCTTATCAACAACCACTGTACCAGACACTTTTCGCCTCGTCTCCGTACCGGGTAACAAAGAATATCCGTTGCAACGTATGGAACGAACGAAACGAGCCCACTTCCTTGTCCTCCCACGAGATACACACACATATACGTAGGAAGAAAGAAAAGAGAGGAAAAAAGAGAGAAGAAAGACAGAGCAAGAGAAGAAAAGGAGAGAAGGAAAAAAGCGAGAGAAGAGAGATAGGCAACACATACACACGCACACAAAGATACCACAATCGATCGACACATGTTACGTAAATTTTTCTCACAGAGATACCGCATCGCGAAAAGAATCTCGTTTCGTTAGCGAACCTCCCGATATCCGTGATCCCCGGAAAGAGGGAACTTTTACCAACCGCCTATCTACCCGCGAGAATCTTCATTCTTCGCCGCGATAATTAGCGGACACGGAGAGAAGAAGACGGGTGGACGAAAAGCGGCGGCGTAGAGGAGAAGTCGCACGCTCGCGAGTGAAAGGTGCCCGATACCTTCCTTCCCTCGCCTTTATCTCCATCGTAGATCTTCGTCCTCCTCCCCCGGCCGCGCCACCACCGCCGCCTCTCGTTCAACGTAAATTATCGTTAGGAATTCTTTTTACGATCGCTGTGCTCGACATTCGCTCTGGTCTCTTTCCGCCGGGCCCCGTTCACTTTCACTCGTAACGCGCCACTCGGCTCGGAGAACGCACATGTGGACGATTATTTCGTGGCTTATTATTCGACAGAGACGGTATGAAATTCACGTTCGATGAACCGGCGGCCTTGTTCGCGGCCTGTGACCCCCGTCAACCGCGCGATTTCGACGCACGCTTATAGGTGCACGCTGGATCTAACCTAGATCTTCAATGGAGGTTAGGTCAGATGTAAGGTGATTGTATTGTTGGTGGTGGTTTGGTGCTTGTTTGACACCTGTTGGGGCGTTTGGTGGTTGGCTGGATTTAGGGCGAAGGTTGCGTTGAGAACTGGGTGAAGATACCTGGTGAATAAAAAATTTTAACGATACCTCGCAGGTTTCGTAGTTTTTGTTGTAACTTTTGAAGAAGGCAATTTATGGATTTTTTTTACGTGACATTTTAGTCTTATTTTTAGCTGTAGAACACGCTGGCGATGTTTGTACGAAAGAACGTGGAACATCCTGTGTATTGTAATAACTCTTTGTAAATATTACATACTTATTTGACTTCAGGTTGTGTTTCATTGCGTTCGTTTTATCTATTTTCCCAATTTTTCACAAACTCTCTATAGAAACTCTGTTGGATCTGGTTTGAAATCGGGTACAACTTGAATGCGAATTTTGGACACCTGTTGTATTGCATGGTTGAGGGATAGATGCACTTGATTCCGATTTAATCGAGAGATTATTCAGACATTCTACGAGTGACCTAGACTTTGAATCAGATTACTTTCCCAGTCACTGGGATTTCCTCGATCCACCTTGAAGCGCGAAATTCCTCACAATCCTGAATCTCAGTGAATCTTCCACGGTTACCTCGAACCTCTGTCCATTTAAATCTTCCAAATTTACAATTTTGGCTTATAGTCACACCCGACACTTATCCATACCCAACGTCTAACCTAACTGCACAACCTCCTCCAAACCAAAGACCTCGCAATTCCTTTGTAGTCGTCCACCGACACGTTGCACACCAGAAAAATCCCAGAAGATCACGGCAATCTGAAAATTTCACGTTTCAGTTCTCAGAAAAATGCGATTACCACGCGCCTTCTTGTAATTCTAAGACATCACTCCGAATTGCCCAGTGTAACATTCAGCTGTTTTCACACCGTGGTCATTATTATCACGTGAAAAACGTGAAATCCACGTGATTAGCTGTCGATGGTCAGCATGAGTACCGGAATTGGCTGCACTGCGGTAGGTGATCCGATGGTTTTTCACGGTGTGCAACTAACGGGTACCGTGGCGAGTCGTTTGGCTCACAGCTAGCAAAGAGTCATTGTCCGGCATTTACGTGACGAATTTCCTCCTGTGGCTATCGTTCTGTTCGTTCCTGGCCACGCTATTCGCATTTTAACAGCTTTCTAAGAAGCCCTGGACAGCCTAGCCGCTAGTCACGGTGCTCCCTTACATTGGAACTTGCTCGTCCTATTGCTGAACCTCGAAAACCTGGTCCTTTCTTCGACTGTTCGTGATTATTCTGGTTGTTAAATGGGTGGAAGCAACTTTAGCTTCGTTTATGGATATGGATTTATTGGAACGCTTATAGTCACGGGTTTTACGATTATAGTCACCAGTATAGTTATGGATAATTATTGTTAGATGTCCTGATATGTGTGCCTGATAATTTATCGAGTTATAGTCGCTTGTTTCTTCATCGATAGTCACGAAGTTCGAAAAAGTTGGAAATCTCGTTATGGATACTTTTTTGTGTTATAGTCAGTAGGTAATATAGTGAGTTTTAAAGAAATTTTGCCGAGTGTAATATTGTTCTTTACATGTAGTGATTAATATTATAAAATTTGGAAACAATTTGATCGCTCGTCGATTTTATTATTTCTACATATTCATTTGGTACAGTCATCGCTGTTATTGCACACAGTCTGCAATTTCTTTCACGAAAGGCAATTATCGGACACTTTTTTCACATGGATAACACTAGCTAAAAATAGTGGAACAACAATGGGACAATATTCGTTGTTCGTCTTGCAAAACACCCTCATGAATATTAATCCAGTTAGACCTGAAATCCACCGCAGCTGTTGTAATCATTGTCACACATATCCATCCGTCGAGTTCTTCGCAGTAAAAAGCCTGCTGTCGATAATTGGACGTTCATTTTTCCAAATGTCGACACTCCGGTGCGATATTTACACACTCGAAGAATATTTATTTATTGTTCTCCCTTGAATTAAACATTGCCGCAGGTATTTCGTTTCTATTTTTGCACACTTTTCGAAGTGTCCTTGTTGAACATATCTGCCCGCGTCTAATCGTTCACCTTGTTCCGGATATGTGTATGTTTGCTCGCCAAGTCCGTGCACTGATAATGATTTTTCTACGTGTTGGTTCTTTTTCCAACACTTTCACACTTCCGTGAAACTCGAGCAAGAGGAACATTCTTCTCTCTCGCTTTTTTTTAGTTTTTCTTTTGTTTTTTAAATGGTTCATTTTAAAGATCCGTTTGGAGAAGTAGCATTGAGGAATCGCGACAAGAATCGTTAGCAGGGAAACACTGCAGAGAGGAAAAAAGTGTCAGGCTGTACAGTTATCGAGGACTCGTTGAAATTCTCGACACTGATCGCTCACGCGTGCTTCGATTACTTCTTTTGCGTCCCACGAAGGCTCGAGCGTGATTTCTCGCCAACTCCTCGGTCAATTGCTCGTACAGGCTTGAAACTGGGATTATATTTGAATGAAATATTTTGTTGCAGCGTACGTTGGCTAAATAATTCACTTTTCGGGGCAGTTTTTCTTGCCCTTTGTTCGAATAACAATTGCGAGATCAGAAGGTTTGTTTCGAGTATAGAAATTGAGAATTTTTAACGAAATTATGAGGAATATTTCTGTGTCATTTTGTTCAGTCCTGGAAAACGTTTGTGAATTTTTCTGTGGGGGAATACTCGGTATCCAAGGTCACCATAATTGTAATCTTGACCCGAAGAAACAATTAAATAGGATTGTTTAAGGTACAAAATTGTTTTTACAGTGATGAAAAATGAAGAATCGTTGATTAAAAGTGAAATATTATAAACTAGGTAGTGTGTGAAGAGTGAAAAGTTGATTTTGCACCAACCCAATCTCACAGCCATCAAATTTCACCTAAAAAGCAATCTATACACCTAAGAATCCCTTCTTAACCCAGTGAAACCTAGCAGCAACCTCAAACACTATTTCTCTCCTCTACAATTCAGCCAGAAATTTCCAGAAAAACCCTAACTTAGGTCGTCAACACCAGTCAACTTAATGTACAACTTAACACGTTCAGGATGTCATCGAGTGTTATATACTTTGACTCTTATATACTTTCCCACGTGACCCACCGGTGACCACATTATTCGATAACATTCTACGAAAGTAAACGTATATTGAAGAACTGAAAAGATTTAAGACCTGAAAAAAATCAAGTATTAATGACAATCGACACTTCCGCAAAATTGAACCATCCAATCACAAGCGAAGCTGTTCCGCAAGTTTCCAGTTGGGAAGAACCGAATCGAACACACAACTTCTCAAGAACCGTCTTCCTCTTCTACCATCTTCGCAACAATTTCCAAAAAGCCGAAAGTGGGTCGTCAACACCACCGGGCAATCCGGTACACAACTTAACCCGGTGACCCAGGCC